TGATATGATATGATATGATATGATATGATATGATATGATATGATATGATATGAATTTATTAAGCACAATGGCCTCAGGCCTATAGTACAATAAATCAAAAATAGAAAAAAAAACATATAGAGGGAGTCATTTAAATAATCATTGAATCTACAAGTCACAATTGGTTAAGTAGATTTTCTCTATGTTTAGTAACATAGAAAACAAATTTCGGAATTTGTCAGGTTTGACTGATAAAATAGAGGTAAATATTTCATAATGTGGACATACAAGGCAAAAATAGTATTCATCCTCAACCAGCCCTAAATTACACAATTTATAGATTCTCGTATTCTCCGATATGTTTAATTTACGATGTGATTCAACCAGAAAGTTGTGGGATGATGTTCTAAGCTGACACAGCGCAGAACGTAACTTGTTATCTTTTATTAAATGCAAATATTTTTCACACCTACAATCCATCTTACAATCTCTGTATTTATCAAGTTTAGGATAGTTGTTGGAATCTATAAACCAAGTTTGTTTGTACATATCATGAAGTCTTTGGGTGAATAGTGGCAAAAAAAAACAATTTTCTTCCACGACTTGGTTTAATCAAACAAAACCAAAACCGTGTGAAAGTAATAAGACTTGGAAAACCCAACATTTATGGTTGTTTTCATCTTCTTTATACTGAAAAAGCTAACATTGGTAAACATAACGATATGTTTGCATTTTTAAGATATTCAACCAAAATTTATCAATACGTATATAACAGTCAAATTTTACAGTCAAATAAATTTATACATCAATATCACCAGCCACCACTACTTTGGAAAAGTAATACCCAGAATGAGGAAGTTGTTCTCCATTCTCACTCACTTCTCACAATGCCTTAATTTTCCGGCATTTCTAAAAACTACAATTATTGTTTTATTAATATTAACTTTAAGTTTCTATCCCACACAGACATTTAGATGTTTCCGTTACCCCTCTTGGGTTTGGTACACGAGACAAATTATCACCAATACACAGCGAAAAGTGTCATACTTCACACTTCACCAATTCGAGGTGCGAGTAAAATAGTAATACTGCATTCAATCTAAATGTTAGCATACTGAAAATAAAGTAAACAATAGTTGCATTCAAAATAAATTATTTATACGGAGGAAATTATATTGTTGTATTGACAGACATTGTGTCAATCGCAGCAGCCCACCCTCCTTTTCCCCAAATCTCTTGCTGAACATGGCTTAGGCAATCAAGTGCATATTTAGATCTCCGGAGCAATGACCGTGTTCTGTGCAACTTACAAGCACATGTGATCAAGAACAGGTCAGAAAAATTAAATTGCCAGTCGCAGTAGTGAATACCCGTATGGTTTGTCCTTGGCACAAACATGTGCTAATAGACGACACAACATGAATTTTAGCCTTCAAAGGCAATTGAAAAATTGACCCGAGTATCTAACCACCTTTTCCGGGTACTTCCCTTGCCCAACTTGTGATTGAGCTGATTGTCTTCAAAATGAAACCCACGCCACGCAACACGATTTTTCTTGTACATCGTAATTGTTTATAAATTAGTTTCTCCAGTGAGTACGCATTCGATCAATATGAAAGGCTAACTGTGATTGGCTGTAGCTTATACGAGATTTGAACGGGATTTATATAGGTATTTGGTCAGATCCTTGTGGGCGTTCGTGATTACAAAATAATGAAAAATGAAAATAAAATAAATTGATGGAAAATATATAATAAAAAATTATACCTATATTTAACAAAAAAATAAAGCCCAAACTAGGATCTTAATTTTAATCAGATTGGTCTTATGCAGAACTGGATACAAATAAACTATTTAATGAGATGTATATTTTTTTTATCTTTGCTCACCTCCAATGTAACTTCAATGTTAGTCTGTGTATAGCCTGGCGGTACTGTCAAAGATACACCATCTACCACGTCTGATTTCACTGTACCACCACCCGCATCTATCTGAAAACGTTCCTCAATAGACCGTGAAACAGCAACGAAAAACCCAAACTGTCTTATTTCAGTACCGACTGGCTGAACATCCTAAGATTTAAGGAGCAAAAATGTTGCAGAATTTCATAATGCATTCTTTACGCCATTTGATTTACTTGATTTTGATTTGTTCGATATTGAAATTATTTATTTATTTAGTTAATTATTCAAACATAGATAATTCGGAGCACGTACACTAGATTTCATTATTGAATAAAATGAGAATTGTTCTGTAATTTGCAACAAATCATATAATTTAGTTTCTGTATCGAGATGCAATTCAAAATCAAAACTAAACAGCACTCAGAGGAGATGCCAACCTGCGACAGATTTCTCGATATCACTATCCATATTAACACTTAGAGCTACAGCGTAGGTCTTACAGTTACGTAGCATGCGGAAATGAGATTCTTGACCTTTTGACATTGAACTCCAGGCGTTGTAAGTTACATATGTCATGTGTGTAAAGTTTGAAAGCATTACCTATTCCCCCCGGATTTGTATTACGAAATCTGATCAAAAAATCTGACTTGGTCTAGTGCGTCACATGGGTAATTTGTGTAAAGTGTGGAGTTGTACTGCAAACATACATACATATTCTCATACTGTAACCATATCTTCTCACTGTTTTGTTCTGAAAAGCTAACTGGGTTTTGCAAGTGCCATGTGTGTCAAGTTTGAATGCTCTGTGGTGTGTGCCACGTGTAAACACACTATTTGTCTCTAATAGTTATATTGCAAAAACCCATAAACATACACTATGACCGTAACCTGTTACCAGATCTTGTGAGTCATATGGAATTTGTTCACTTATCATTTCTTTTGTTAGTTCTATAACAAATACCCCCAAAGACATACTGTGATCTTGAACTTTGGCTGTAAAAGGTCTTGTCGAGCACATAGGAAACATGTGTACCACATTTGAAGACACTAGCTATTTTTACCCTCCAGTAATTATTTAAACGAACTCAAACATATGTAATGTTAACCATTTTTTAAAATTAATAATACACAGTTTACCTTAAATGTTGATGTCTCATGCCACAGTGCACCGTCGTCGCTGTACAGTATTACATACTCCCTTACCGCTACGTTATCTACTGATGGGTTGAAGCCGAGTATAACATGTTTAAATAACGACACGTGTGTTGGTTTGATTATAGTGACTTTCGATTCTACCCATTTGTAATTATTCAAACCACGCACTACCTCGACGTCTGTTGTAGTCACTGTCAAATCAATATGCTTACGAATGGTGTCAGGGGGGATCATCAGAAAAAAACCGCCGGGTAGGTCGTACTTCCTGGTTTCCTAAACGATTAAAAACGTATAATAGTACATCAAACGTAAGATATGAAATTGATATATAATTCAGAAATACATTTTAGTGTTTATTCAAAGTTTTTATTTATATTTACCTGTGCCTCGCGAAGGCATATTACTGTTTTCGTCTCAGTGTTCTCTGGATATGTAAAAAATAAAAAAAAGTCAACTACGTGTTCATCTATTTTTGAATATACGCATATATCAAAATCACACGCAGAGAATAATCAACACGTGGACGTATCAATAATTATATTACCAGTTAAAACATTCATAATTCAATTCCCATCGTCATAATGCAATATAATACAAAAATAATTACAATAAATTACATACCACGTTCGTCGTCATTGTTGTCTGTACTAATGGGATTTTCATTCACTAAAACTTCACACTTAGACAAGTTTTTTAATGATTCAGGTACCTTGTGAAATTCATTGTTGCTTAGGTCCAATTTTTCAAGCGCAACAAGATTCTCTGAATATAATAGAAAACTCGTTATTCATAAATGAGATACCGAAACATACAGAATATACAATCCAGAGACGATTGAAGTGCTATACGAAACCCAATTTTACAAAATTACGACTTACCAAACGTTGGAGGGAGCTTCATAAGATTGTTGTTTGATAAGTTCAAGACCTCAAGGTATTGAAGTTTGCCAATATTTGATGAGATAGAAGTCATTGCGTTACTTCGAGCATACATTCGGACCAGCTTACCAAGCTCACCTATTCCAGAAGGCAATTCGTGTATTTGATTAGAAGATATATCCAGCGTCTCCAAGATCTTAAGTTGTGAGATGGTATCTGGCACCGTTGTTATGTCATTACCCCTTAGATGCAGTTGCTTTAATGTCTTGAGGCCGAACACACAAGGTGGAATCTCCGTCAACTTGTTATAGGACATATTCAACCTCCACAGTTGATGCAGTTGAGAACTGTCCTTGGGTAGGAAACTTAATTGATTGAAACCTAGGTCCAGCTCTCTCAGCGTCATCAGTTTGAATACACAAGTAGGGATTCCACTCAGTTTATTACCGTGTACATCCAGTCTCTCCAGTTGTTCAAGTTGTGAAATTTCCGACGACAGGAACATTATCTTATTGTTATTTATGCGCAAATCTTTCAGGCCTCGCAGATGGAAAACAGATGATGGTAGTACTTTTATATTGTTGTCAGACACGTTCAGCGTATGTAGCTCCGTGAGTTTAGAGATATCTTGTGCAATTGATGAGATGTTGTTGCCACAGACGTGTAATTCTCTTAGTGAGTGAAGATTATATACAGCAGGTGGAATACTATTCATTTGGTTGAAGGATACATTTAATACAGTTAACTGATTGAGTAGAGCGATGTCTGATGATAAAGTCTTTATGTTATTACGAAGTGCCAGCAACAGTGTTAGTGTCTTGAGTTCATACACACAGGATGGAATCTCTTGAAATGCATTCATTGACAAATTCAGTTCTTTTAGCTGCTTTAACTTAGCTATTCCTCCGGGTAATATTGATAGATCATTATCACTAAGATCCAGTTTATTGAGGTTTGTCACCGAACTTATTGACGGTGGAACAGCCGTTAGTCCCTCCCCGTTGAGGTCAATCTCTTCCAAAGACGTGTCAAACTTCTTGAACCGGTTCATATCTGTGAAAATAGATTTATTTATTAATCATTATTATGTACTTGCCAGTGACGGAATTAGTATCGAACTTCGCTGAATAGCATGAACAGATTAGTGATATCCATACGTAGGAGTGTTAATCTATTTTATCATGCCTCGTTTTCGTACTGGTATGGGGATGAAATTACCAGACAATACTAACCACCAGTCAGTTTTGATTACATGTTTGTGCAAACCTATTGGCCTGACGATTAAATGCACACACAAAGGAGAATTTAACTGTTAAAGCGGTAGGGTTGTCACCTACGCACGCGTGGGAATTGAGTCCAAAGCGATGATAACAATACATGCTAAATGCGCAAAGGCTCATGGGTAGACGCTTGTTTGTAAACAATAACACACTATGGCCATCTGACGCATGCGTATGGGACGACTCCTCCGCTTTAATGTAAAGCTACTCACAAAGTTGGCATCGTTCCAAGATTGTTTCATTCACACATGTTACCTTAGCATAATATCGCATTGTATTTGTGTCGCGTTGCGTTCAGACAAGCTAATACTTGAACTGAATTCCTCGGTCCTAGATTCCAAGCTTTATATAATAACTTACTTTTTGAATCTTTACGACATCAAGCATTGTCAACTTGTCAGTCTAGTTAATTTTAACATAACTTGCTTCCTGTTACAAACAGTTTACACACAAATTGAGTCATTGAACTTCACGCAACAATCAAATGCAACTACAAAATATGACGTATTACTATATATATATAATACATTGGAATTAGAATGCTTTCCACTCAGTCATCTGTCTGTCATGATACAGTATATAATATATGGCTTTGATCTCCATGAAATATGATTATACAGCTGTAATTCAAATCTATAGTGTGAAACGTGTCAATTTGAAAAATATATATATAACATGATATTGACTTGAAGAAAATCTCAATAGACACCGCTGTATAGCTACGTAACCAACGCTGTCTGTAAGGTGGTTATTATCTTGACTAAGCATGGTAGTGAAGAAACAACTCGCAAACATTAATACAATCATAATAATAACACTATTCAAGCTGTGTTTGTCAATGAATCATTCCGAAATGTTGTCAAATCAACTTCTTACCGTGGTAGTCGTGCACCGAGGTACGTATGTATTATAACAAGTACACTCATGAATACGTCTTGCAGCAAGGGTCACGTAAGGTCGAATGAAGTTAACAAAAACCTGTGTCTATTAAGGAAACGTGTAGAACACTGTACCACTGTATGCACTTTGAGTAATATTATACGTTGTTATTCCTGAAGGCGCCTTTAACATCAGTAAATTGATGAGCGAACCTAGAAATGTCACCCATATTAACAAGTTGAACCAAACTTTAGATGTTCGCTCTTTTGGGTTTGTCCACACTATTTAAGGTAACACTACATAAGGCCGAATAAAAACATATCGTATTTGGCTATGATTGCATTTTGAAACTTAAGCCTCAAGTTTTACAATTGTGAAAGAAATGCCAAAATTTATTAGTTAATTTTATCATTTCCTTCTTACCAATATATATTATCTTGTTTACAATTATTTATCAATCATTGTGCATTAGTTTATTTATTGTTTGCTTAATATTTATTATTTGGGTTTATTTTAAGTCATTAATAATTTTTTCTTCTGTTAAGTCAATTCCTGAATATAGGTTCACTTTGTCTGCTTAAGGTTTACGTGACACACTGCAGTATTGAGCGATTAGTATTTGTGTTATCCCTTCAGTATCTGCAATGCATTCATTCATGAATGAAACAATAGATGCATTGTCTTCGAATTTGACAGCATAGGTGTAGAAATACTTGGGGAGTTCACCTGCGCATGCGTCAGATGGTCATAGCGTGTCATTGTTTACAAATAAGCGTCTACCCATGAGCCTCGTTCTCAGCTTGTGTTGTTATCGTCGCTTGACGACCCCCCGTTTTGAAGACCATTTTCAATGAAGTGTAATTTCTGGGTGGTTGCTTTGATCATATATATGAGTAGAATTGGGATTAATCAATTGTTCTTAGTTTTTGTTCTTTCCCTCATAAGTATCATATACCTTGGGACTTTATTCTTCTCATTTGCAGGGTTTTAGTTTGGCATTTTCTCCATAGTATAGTCTTCCAGTTGACTTCTGAAAAGTCATTGTTCATACTATCCAACTTTGTTATAATTCAAATGTGCACTGGTTCTAATCTTGATTACTGCACACTTTTCTGATTGTTATAGTCAGGTCAAGGGAGAGTGTTATGTGATCAGAGAATACAGTTGACACAACCTCATAGTGCTGAATCATTTGCCTATCATTGATGAAGGCAAGATACAAAAGGGCTGGATAGTTGAGGTCAAGTTGAGGCAGCCATTACTGTTTGCCAAATAGTACAGGGTATTTGGAAACTTCCATTCATGACCATTTGCATATGCATAAGGTGTCTGCCAGATAGATTCCCAGGTTGCTCAAATTTTTTCCAGAAGCATGAACGCGTCGAGTGCTCGAGGATGAATTTGGAGATGTGCCAAGAAGACGAGACAAAGTTTTTCAAAAGACTGATTACACAGGATGAAACTTGGGTTCATCACTATGATCAATAGACCAAAGCCCAATCAATGCAGTGGATGCACTTGGACTCACCACCTCCAAAGTAGGCAAGGGTGCAGCCCTCCGCTGGCAAGGTCATGCTCACAGTCTTCTTTGACCAGGACGGAGTAGTGATGACAGATTTCCTGGCAAAGGGTACCACAATTAGAGGAGCCTATTACGCTTCACCTTTGATGATATTAATAGAAGCTATCAATCTTAAGAGGCTGGGCAAGATCAGCAAATGTATCCTCTTGCAGGATAACGCTCAGGTCCACAACTCGCATGTCGCCAGATCAGAAGCACGGGCGTGTGGCTATGAAATCCTCCCCATCCCACTTACTCTCTCGACCTTGCACCCTCTGACTTTCATCTCTTCCCAGCCATGAAGTTGTTTTTTAAAAGGAAAGCGTTTCCCAGATGATGCAGCCTTTATTTCTGAAGTTATGACGTGGTTGGAGGACCAACCAGGGGTGTTCTACAAAAACGGTGTCCAGAGCTGCATGAAACGATGGGAGAAATGCATAACTACGTAGAGAAAGACTAATAACTGTGCCAAGTTTCATTAATCTCCTGCTATAGTAAATGGGTCAGGAGCATTACTTATTGAACGCCCCCTCGTATATGTTGATTCATAAACAAAGTGTAAATTTAAGGAGTTAGAAATGTAGCCAACTTTACGTTTTATGGATGTAACCCCCTTAACGTATTATCCAGCCTTTACGTCTAACCAACACCTACAAATTTAGACGTAATACCGTCCAATAGTGGGGGACCGTATGCTAAAATATTTGCACTGAGTCACTTTGGCGGTTCATTACGGTAGCGATAGACGAACACAATTTTTTTAGCTTGGTTATTTATTCTATGATGCTCACGTTATCCATACAATTCATTTTTTTACTAGTACTGATGTGCTGCATTAATCTCATGATTTCTGCAGTTGTCCTATTTAGTTAGATGCTTCTACGACATACCAATCAATCATGTTTATTTTTTTTAGAAAACTGTTTGCTGTGAGGGTCTCCAATGGTTTATTCGTTATACTATTGGTTTCAACCGTGGCTTATACCTTAATGAGTCGTATGTTTTGTAGATACGACGCTCACATCTGCGCATGACTCATAACATAGACACTGTTTTATCTGCATTATCACTGAAATTAACCATGGACGCAGGAAATTAACAACATAATTAAATATTTAAAAAAAATAATTAACATTTTTACAAACAAATTGCATTGCTATAAATACTGATTCTAATAATATCTGTGACGTACACTAAATAACTGCTGGTTCTGCAGTTAATACGATTTTTGTTGGATTTCTACTGTTCTATATTTAAGAGCTCTTTTTAACGGTATAATCCTTGAAAAATGTGCACAATGAATCTTAATTTACAATATTTTTATTAGTCTTACAGTAATATTTATTTTATAAATAACATATCAAGTAATTGACAACTGTTTGCTTTCGAATTTCGGAGAGAAAGTTCTAACCAAACAAACAATTTAAATAATTGTGCGCACAGTGTAATTGTCAGTTGCTATTCCACCTAAAGAAGCAATATTGTCCCGCCCATTCATTATTATTGAACTATATCCAAGCCCAAAATGGCATCCCCGCTTTCACACAAATAATGTATTATTTCTGGCCACTCGCAAAACCTTACACGGTGAGCTTTTTGTATAAGGAGCTTTGTTTACTGCTTCCCATCTACAGTTGTCCTCGCACAAATTGCAAACGATATCCACTTTCGGAATGCCATGATTTTAACTGAAGACAATTACATGATTTAGGTCACTGTTTGTTTACACGGTCACTTCGGGTGGCTCACTTATATCTAAAGTTTAATCCCTAGATTTATTTGAGCTGACCTTCGGCTTACGTAGAATGCATTTACATTGTATTTTTGCTGGTTCGAGCTGTTAGGATTTTATAAAATGCTGATTTGTACAAATCCAATGGAATATTAACAGAGGCAGAGCCGAGTTGTTTATTTTCCGCCCGTTGTTTTTTTTAATTTAGAATCGACAACTGACCACCAGCTTTTTCACTTACGTTTGCGGACAGAGTGTCTAAACTTCGAAGCATTAACGAATTGACTTCAACAAATGACGTTTCCGTATTATTATTCAAGCACTTTAATGTTTATAAACTATAGAAGATTACTCGTCTGAGATGAAAGTAAAACAATAAGAGTAGATTTACAATAAAACTGAAACATAAAAAAAAGAAAAAAAAAATAGAACATAAACTTTGTTAATAGTAATGAACGACAATACCAACCAATAACAACATCACAGAACCTGTAAACGTATATCAATTTATCGTACAGTGGAAAAAACAAGCAAATAAATTCAAATATAATTGAGAATGATCAACCACCAACAAAACCTAATTTTAACGGATATGGTTT